CCTCCGTTTGGACCTCGGTCCCCTCTGAGCCTCCGTTTGGACCTCGGTCCCCTCTGAGCCTCCGTTTGGACCTCTGTCCCATCTGAACCTCCGTTTGAACCTCTGCACCTTCAGGAGCAGCTGATCAGCTTATCAGTGCCCGTTCCCTCATTAAGGGCACTACATGTAATAAATTGTTAAAATCTAAATGCTTTTGCACATTATCAAAGAGCAATATGGTAGCTAAAAGCTAAAAAGGAGCTAGAGGGCAGCTAAAAGCGAAGCGGAGCGCTACGTTACTTATGCTAGGTTAAAGCCACTTATAACAGTCTCTGTTCAGTGGGACTTGTGACGAGAGGAGGGGGGATATCTGTAGGCAGGGCGCTCAATTCTGTTGACAGGGCGGGGCACCCTCCTTGGAAAATGGTAGGGGAAGCACTTGTGTTGTGATAAATATGCATGTTCCTCACTACTCTCTTTTATTCCATCACTATCATAAACGAGGTGTTGGTATCAAGGACAATTAGACTGCTGAATTGACCAAATATAATTATCATGAATGCATAGAACTAAAAATCCAATGATTTATTGCAGTCTTTTTCTATATAGTTGTTGCGCTCACTGACATTGCAGAGACAATTAATTTGTAATATTATGAGCAGCTATTTCTCCCATTGTTCTCTTTTTTTAACTTGATGACTAATTTAATGAGGAATTAAGTAACCTGACTAATTTCCTCCAAACACCAGAAATCCACATATTTATTGTAGTTTATTTGATCTTTAACAGTCCTGTGCACTTACACTTACAGTATATTACCAAAAAATGTAAACAAAGCAAAATGCCAAATATAGGTTTAAAATGCCGACTGTAACATGAAAAATAAAATAAAGCTGTGAATATTTATGTATTTAAAAATAAAGGTACCAGGTGTATGTTTTGCTTGGTGATAATAATCCTCAAGGATCTGAGGTATGGTATGGTATAAAGTTTATTCATTTAAAAAAAGTACAAAACAATTCCATAACAATATAAAAAAGATACAAAAGATTTAAAATGAAAGGCAGCAGAAAGAAGAAAAAATATTATTATATCTGCCCCTTTTTTCAAACAATTATTTCAATCATAATAGTTTTCAAGTAACAGAACAAAATGAATAACTCTTTCTAATTTTTCTAATTCTAACACAAAACACACACTAAGCTACTTCATATATACTTTAACAATTCAGTTTTGATCTTTTTCTTAAATGTACACATTGACTTGGCATTTTTAACATCACTCTCTACCAGATGTGATGTAGGGATTGCCATCTAGCAATGTCCTGCTTAAAGTTCGCCAGGAGAGGTAAATGATTAGCCTTATAGAGGTTCTTATGGTCTCGTGTTACCCAAACGCCAAGGTATTTAATTTTTTTTTACTAATTTTAAATGGAACAGTACCTAAAATTTTCTTTTATAGAGGTCACAGGCATTAGCTCACTTTTCTTAAGATTAACCTTATAGTCAGATATTCACCTCAATTTTTTGAAGAAAAGTAAGTAACTCAGGAATGTTAGTGAGAGGATCTGATGTATACAAAAGCATCTCATCAGCATAAAAAGAAACTTTATGCTCTGTGCCTAATCGATACCAAAAACATATCATGATATATATCTTTACTGCCAACCATCATAATAGATATATCGGGATATGAATTTTATGCCATATTGCACATCCGTACACTCCACCTGGTCAAACGCTTTTTCAGCATCCAGTGAGAGTATGACTTCATCACATTTGTTACCGGGTGGATTGGGAGTGTATAACACAGCGAGCAGCCGCCTAATGTTGAAGAAAGCTTGACATTTTTTTTGCAAACCCTGTCTGATCCAGAGTTCCAGAATTGCGCCACTCAAGGTGGCTGCATGTTGGAGTATCTCTCTTACCTACATTCTGAGATTTTGCTTTTGAAAACTTTATTTACAAATTTTTCTGGATGTAAATCACTTTTTTTGGATGATTACTTCCTCTGGTATCAGATGTTGTGCTGCAGGAAGAATTTTTATTGAAAACTGTATTACATTTGGACATTTGTTATGATGCGTAACCATAACAACAAAGTGGTTTTCTACAACTGGGAGCTGCTGATTAACTTCTCAAAAGCTCAAATAAGACGTCAACTACAGCCCCAAATCCCAAAGGAGTTTAAAAGGAGGTGCCGTGGATGCATTACCATCTACCTGGAGGCTGTGCTCGAGTGCCTGACCGCTGAGATTTGGAGGTAGCGGGAAACACGGCTTGTGACAGCGGGAGGACCGAGATCGTCCCCTGGCACTTGGAGTTAAGTCCGCTGCGACAAGGGTCTCGGCAGGCTGCTGCAAGAAATGGCCATTTGCTCGAGGATGAGTTCTGCCAGAATTCAGACAGTCCTGCTGCCCAAGAAGACGAGAGGTCTGCTGGGTCTGGGTGGACGGATCGGCATCTGCAGCCAGTTTCTTCTGCTCTGCTGTGGCAGAATTGATCTCAGCTACAGAGAACTCTTTCTCCAAATCTTTGGCCAGATCAAGACTTAAGGCTCCAGTATACTCGCGCAGACCTTTTTCCGCTCTGACTCAACGCACACTGTCTGCAGATGATTGAGACTTCATACTCGAGCGTCCACCCTTATTGGCTGCAGCCAGCTCCGCAGGCAAGGGGCGTTTACCTTCAGGACAAATTGAGGTTGCCAATTGATCATTTGCTGACACGCTCACTGGATTGATTGACAGGTCACAAAAAATAATAAACGAGAGCTGCCGGTGACCCTGGATAGAGGCAGCAAGCAGCAACAGTGTTCTGTGTTTATATGTTGTTAATAAAAAGTTATAAAAAAAAAAACAGGGAGCGATGGCCCTGCAGCCCCCACATCAAACCAGCCCACCAGGAAATCTCCATACCCTCCCGCAGCCACGGTGGACCTGATTTTAATTCGCTCATGACAAATTCCTTCACTTCTCACTATTTCAGTCATGGCATCAATAGAGGAGGAGGAAGAGATAGCTTGCCTCTTGGAAAAAAAACAAGAAAACAAAAGAAATGGCCATTAAACCAGATCAGGGATGAAGAAGGGGAATTTAATACATTGGTGTCGCATACAAAACAGTCCGTCATCGCGCAGTTTATTGTGCAACACAGAGTACGCATATGCGGTCATAAAAATTGAGCTTTGCACGGACATGCCCTGTGGGCGTCAGCTTCGAGTCTAGTCTGGTATGCGCGGACATTCACGAACTGACGTACGCCCGAGTATACTGGAGCCTTTACTGTGTGTCACGAGGACCTGCCCCCCAAGAGAGACATGTATTGGGCACCTATGCGAGCGCTCGGGTGTGATGAAGCTAAATGTTTTTGGCAGCAGGAAGCTCGTTAGCCCATCAAAAAACACCTTGCAGCTGTATTTCTAACATCCTTCTACCATTATACACACAGTTCCTCCTCATGTTTGTGCTGATGTTCAATGTTTTTATGTTACGAGTGCTTAGTGTATATTTAGTTGATGTTTTTCTTAGTTCATATCTTAGATGTTATTACTGTTTTTCTTATACATTTTATTGTTGGATGTAACTGGGACCCTGTGTACATAATTTCGCTCCACCACATGTACCACATGAGGTGCGAATGACAATAAAGAAACTCTGACTCTGACTCTCTGAACATGTTCAAACCATCTCAGTCTGGCTTCTCTAACTTTTATCTCCCAACTGTTCAACCTGTGCTGTACCTCTGATGATCTCATTCCTAATCTTATCCAGCCTTGTCACTCCAAAGGAGAACCTCATCTTCAGCTCTGCCACTTTCAGTTTGGCCTCCTGTCTTTTTGTCCATGTCTCTGTCTCCAAACCATACAACAGAGCTGCAACTATGTTGTATGGTTTGGAGACAGAGGGCTGACTGGTTCATGTGGTCAGTCCATGGTCTCTCACCACTATCTTGTAAACCTTTCTTTTGACTTTTCCTGCTACCCTTTTGTCACAAATCACTCCTGAAACTCTTCTCCATTCACTCCTTCCTGTCTGGACTCTATTTTTCACCTCTTTATCACATTCCCTGTTTTCCTGGACAGTGGACCCCAAGTTCGTGATGTCCTGCACCTTTGTGACCTCTGCTACTTGTAGCCTCACAATTCCACCTCCCTCCTCGCATTCACACACATTGATTTTGTCTTACTTCAGCAAATATTTAAATTGAACATATGCTGATTTTCTTGCATTTTTCTTTAGATTCCTAAGAAAACACCAGCGTCCTCAGCAGCTCCAATTAAGTTCATCATCACAAAAACTGTTAACAGCAAAGGTCTGAGTCCTCAGACACCCGTCACTCCAGTAATCCAAGGTAAATTTATTTGAATAACTGTTTGCACACCACTGTCTGACTTGGTAACAGAAGTCTGAATAAAATGCATACAGTGGTGCTTGAATGGTTGTGAACTGTTTAGAAATGCATTTATTTCTACATAAATATGACTTAAAACATCAGATTTTCATACAAGTCCTAAAAGTAGATAAAGAGAACCCAGTTAAACAAATGAGACAAAAATATTATACCTGGTCATTTACAGTATTTATCGAGGAAAATGATCCAATATTACACATTTGTGAATGACAAAAGTATGTGAACCTTTGCTTTCAATATATGGTTTGACCCCCCATGCAGCAATAACTACAAAACTACAACTGAACGTTTCTGGTAACTGTTGATCAGTCCTGCACACCAGCTTGGAGGAATTTTGTCCCATTCCTTCATACAGAACAGCTTCAACTCTGGGAGGTTGGTGGTTTCCTCTCATTAACTGCTCGCTTCAGGTCCTTCCACAGTATTTCGATTGGATTAAGGTCAGGACTCTGACTTGGCCATTCCAAAACATGAACTTTATTCTTGAACCATTCTTTGGTAGAACCACTTGTGTGTTTAGGTTCATTGTATTGCAGCATGACCCACCTTCTCTTGAGATTCAGTTCATGGACAGATGTCCTGACATTTTCCTTTAGAATTCTCTGATATAATTCAACAGGGGAAAGGAAAAACTCCCTTTTAACAGGAAGAAAACCTCCAGCAGAACCAGGCTCAGGACAGGCGATCATCTGCTTCGACCAGCTGGAGTGTGAGAGGACAGGAAGGAGAAACAAATACAGAATGGCAGGTCCAGGTGTTACCCCTATTGGAAGAAAGACAGAAAAAACACGTTAAAGTTAAAAAATAGTTACAAATACAAGCAAGTAGAAATACAAAACAGGTTTATGTACTTTTAGGACTTGTGTGAAAATCTGATGTTGTTTTAGGTAATATTTATGCAGAAATATGGACAATTCTAAAGGGTTCACAAACTTTCAAGCACTGCTGTATTGGTTACCTATGTTCTGCTGCAATGTTTTACATCTTCTGCTGTATGTTTACAGGACATGTTCTGACCCAAACTTCCCCGCTGATGACATCAAAAACAATTACTCTGTCTGATCCCCACAACACTAGCATACAAACCATTCCTGGCAAAAAGATTGCCATTTCTCCACTCAAGACACCCAGCAAGGTAAGTTCTATAACAACCCTTTTTGCTGTCTTTTCAGTTGACTTTATCCTGCTAAAGTTTAGCTTAATTTTAGCATTTATACATGGTGTAATGTGATTTACTAATAGTCTTGTTTAGCCACTAGGGGGCACTGTAGGATAAGACAGGGACATAATGGATGAGGATGGAATGCAACTAATTAAATAACACCTGTGGATATAACAAGGGGTACGTAGTTAGGGAGAGAGCTAAAGCTGTTGAAGACTGACAAATAAAGTTCCTGAATGAAAACCCATGAAGAGTGACTTGACTTCATGACATGGTGTCAGAAGTGGGATGTAAACATCACCTGCAGAGGAAAGTTTCTGGTTGACTGTGTGAAAAATAATGCTCAACATTCAATCTGGATTTATGTGATAAAAGGTTCTTTTTCCACTAACCTGCTTGGACGTGAAGCAGCTGTGAAAATGGGGCTTGTTCGCAGAGTGGATGGAGTTGAATTATTTGATGATGTTTTTGGTGATATTGGACTGTTAAATTGCTCACCTGTGAAAATAGAGATTCATCCTGATGTTAAGACAGAAGGCTGCAGCTGACATTTGTGATCATAATGGGAAACATTACTTGGTTGTAGTGGATTATTTCTCACGAGATATTGAGATTGCACATTTATCTTCCATGACTAGTCAACAAGTCATTTCCCGTTTGAAAAGCATCTTTGCTAGATGGGGGATCCCTTTTGAGCTGATAATGGAATGCAGTTTACATCAGTTGAGTTCAAGCAATTCAGTGCAGCATACAACTTTAAACATACAACATCCAGTCCACACTACCCCCAGGCTAATGGAGCAGCTGAAAGAAGTGTTGCAGTGGCAAAACATATTCTGAGACAGCCGGACCCGCATTTAGCTCTTTTAAGCTACAGAGCTACTCCTCACATGGCAACAGGATTGTGCCCAGCACACTCAGATGCTATGAATTCTACACACACGCAGGTTTCTGATGTTATTCCACCGTGGAGCCCGAAACCTGCAATGCAGCAAACCTTGTCTCGGAGAGTTGTCAAACCTCTGGTCAAGTTCAAGGATTATGTTATGACTTAATATTTGAACTTCAGTGAGTGAATGAAAAAAAAAAAAAAGAATAAAATAAGGAATGTTAATTGTGTAATTTTACAATGTTCTATGTTTTTCACCTGTTGTAGGAGTTATATCAGCATGTTGTTTCATTGTAAAACAGGGTTTAAATACTGAAGAAGTCAAAAAGGGGGAGATGTAATGTGATTTACTAATAGTCTTGTTTAGCCACTAGGGGGCACTGCAGGATAAGACAGGGACATAATGGATGAGGATGGAATGCAACTAATTATATAACACCTGTGGATATAACGAGGGGTACGTAGTTAGGGAGAGAGCTAAAGCTGTTGAAGACTGACAAATAAAGTTCCTGAATGTAAACCCATGAAGAGTGACTTGACTTCATGACACATGGTAACTAAAGTAAAAAGCTATTGTAAATTACATTCGTCCATTCCGCTTGTTTTGAAGTCGGGTCACAGGTGCATCAGCTTAAGCACAGAGGTCCAGACATCTCTTTCCACAGCCATCTTTTTCAGGACTTCAGGAAAGACTCCAAGGCATTCCCAGGCCAACCAAGAAACAAGTGTCTCTCCAGCGTGTCCTAGATCTTTCCTGGGGTCTCCTTCACATCAAACATGCCCGAAGCACCTTTTCTAGGGAGGTACCCAGAGAGCATTTTTACCAGATGCCCGAAACACCTCAACTGGCTCCTCTCGATATGGAGGAGCAACAGTTCTACTCACAGTCCTTCCTGGATAACTGAACTTCTTACTCTATCTCTAAGGGAGAGTACAGCTACCCTTCAGAGGAAACTCATTTCAACCACCTGTATCTGCAATCTTGTTCTTTTGGTCACTACTCAAAGTTTGTGGCCATACATGAGGGTAGGAATGTATGGCCTTTGATAGATCCTGATCGCCTTACAGCTCAGCGCTCTCTTTACCACAATGGGCTGGTGCAGAGTCCACAATACTGCAGATGCCGCACCAATCCATATGTAAATCTCACGCTCCATTCTTCCTTCACCTGTGAACAAAACCTCAAGATACTTGCACTCCTCTACTTGAGGAAGAAACTCACCCTTGAGAGCAGTCTAACCTTTTCTGATAGAAGACCATGGCCTCAGATTTGGAGGTGCTGATTCTCATCCCAGCTGCTTCACACACTCTGCTGCGAACCGCTCCAGTGAGAGCTGAAGATCACAGCACGATCATGCCAACAAGACCACATCATCCACAAATAGCAGAGACGGAATCCCGAGGCCACTGAACCAGATTCCCTCAGCTCATTGACTGCACCAAGAATTTCTGTCCATGAATGTTATGAACAGAATCCATGACAACAGGCAGCCCTGGCAGAGTCCAACTCTCATCTTAAAGGGGTCCGACTTACTACCGACAATGCGAACCAAACACTTGCACCACTTGTATAGGGACCGAACAGCCTGTAGCAACGGGCCCCCAATCCCATACTTGCAGAGCACCCCCCCTCCCCCACAGTGTACCTCGAGGAACACTGTCAAATGCCTTCTCAAGGTCCACTAAACACATGTAGACTGGATGGGCAAACTTCCATGATCCCTCAAAGACCTTAGAGAAGGTAAAGAACTTGTCCGTTCTTTCACAGCCAGGACAGAACCTGTATTGTTCCTCTTGGATCTGAGGTTTGACCAACGATCTGACTCGCTTCTCCAGTACCCCTGAATAGACCTTACCAGGGAGGCTTAAGGAGAGTGATGCCCCTATAATTGGAGCACACCCTCCGTTCTCCCCTTTTTGAAGATGGTGACCACCACCCCAGTTTGCCAATCCAGTGGCACTGCCCCCGATGTCCATGCTGTGTTGTAAAGGTGTGTCAACCAAGACAGCCCCACAACATCCAGAGCCTCGAGGAGCTCAGGGTTGATCTCATCCACCTTTTCAGCCCTGGCACCACAGAGCTTTTTAACTACCTCAGCAACCTCAGCCACAGTTATGGACAGACATTTCCGTAGTCCTCCTGACACAGCTTCCTCCATAGAAGATGTGCTGGTGGAATTGAGAAGGTGGGAAAAGTATTCCTTCCGCCTCCTGACGACATCACTGGTTGAGGTCAACATCTTCCCACCTGAACTGAACACAGTGTTAGTAAAGTGCTGCTTTCCACCTGATGGTTTGCCAAATTTTTTTTGTAGCCAATCAAGACTCTCTATCCAAGGCCTCACTGAACTACTCCCACATCTGAGCTTTTGCCTCAGCAAAGCCAAGGCTGTGGCCCACTAGGTTCTCCGGTACTCTTCAGTTGCCACCGGAGTCCCACCAGCTAACAATGTCTCATAGGACTCCTTCAACTTGACAGCCTCCCTTACCCGACGTGTTCATGACTGAGTTTGAGAATGGTCACCGCGAGAAGCACAGACAACATTGTGACTGCAGATCTATGCAGCTACCTCAACAATAGAGGCGTGGAGCATGGCCCACTTCGATTCAATGTCCCCCTCTTCAGCTGGGCTGCGGTTAAAGTTCTCCTGGAGTTGTGAGTTGAAGATCTTTCTGATGTGTTCTACTGCCAGACGTTCCCAACATAACCTCTTTACACATTTGGTTCTACCGGGTCTGTCTGGCATCTTCCCTTGCCATCTGATCCAACTCACTACCAGTTGGTGATCAATTGACAGCTCAGCTCCTCTCTTCACCCAAGTGTCCTAAACAAACGGCCACAAATCAGATGACATGGCTACAAAGTCCATTATTGATCAATGATGTGGGGCGTCCTGGTGCCAATGGCACTTATGGACATGTACGAACATGTTTGTGATGGACAAACCATATAGCACAGATGACCAACAACAGAACACTGCTTGGGTTCAGATCAAGAGGCCGTTCCTACCAATCACACCTCTCAATCATTTTTGTTTATTTATAAAAGGCTTAGACACTATTGACCACACCATTCTCCTTGAAAAACTGAGTAAATATGGCAATAGAGGATTAGCACTACAGTAGGTATCTAGTTATTTGAATAATAGGAGACAGTTTGTACAAATAAACGATGTATGATCAGAATTTTGTGTTAATGGATGTGGAGTTCCTCAGGGCTCTGTGTTAGGACCAAAGTTGTTTTATTTTGTATGTGAATGATCTGGTTGATCTGTCAGGGCTTTTGAAGTATGTTTTATTTGCAGATGATACCACATTTTTTTGTTCAGGAGAAGATATTGAATGGATGTTGGAGATGATACAGGCAGAATTCTTGAGCAGTCATGGACTTTGTTGGTTTTGAACTAGTTTGACATGACTGTCGATGAGGGAGAGGGCCGGCACCGGAGGAGGGAGCGTGCCAAAAGAGACCATCTTAGCACCAACATAACTATTTTGTTCCACTTTGGAGTAAGCTGTTGGGGGAAGAATCAGTTTTGTGTTTCCTTGACTGATGAAGCCTTCTGGATGGAAGGTGAAATTTTTCAACACAAAAAAAAGAAACTGTCCAGATGACCTGACTGAAAATTGTTGGATTGTATACCTGGATTATTGAGCATGGACTTTCTTAGTCTCCCAGAATGTTTTAGAGGACTTCATGATTCCTTCTGCTGATGATCTGTATGGAGATGCCGATTTCATCTTCCAGCAGGACCTGGCCCCTGCCCATGCTGCCAGAAGCACCAAAACCTGGTTTGATGCCCATGCTACAGTGCTTCACTGGTCAGCCAACTCGCCGGACCTAAACCCCATTGAGAATCTATTGAGTATTCTCAAGAGGAAAATAAGGGGTGCCAGACCCAACAACAAAGAAGAGCTGACAGCAAGCATCAAGGAAATCTGGGCTTCCATAACTCCCAGGCAATGCCACAGGCTGATTGCCTCAATGCCACGTCACATCGAGGCAGTGATTTAAGGCAAATGGATTCCCAACCAAGTATTGAAGATTGACATATAATTTTTGAAAGTACCATATTTTGATTGATTTGTTGTGATCCTATTTTCTTTCTTTTTTTCCTGCAAAAATTGAGTAGTGTGGGCTGATTTCTTCACAGTATTCTAATTTTTTGAAATCCCGTTTTTGTGGGTTTCATGTGCTGGAAGCCCAAGTTATGTAAAAATAAACAAATACTTGAAATTGTTTAAACTGTGGGCCCCGAATCTATCATCTATAAAAGATTAACTTTTTGAATGGAATTATGGAAGTTAAACAAATTTTCCATGATATTCTAATTATTTGGAAAGGGTCTGTATACCAAGTTTCATTGAAATCTAAGATGGTAGGTATCCATCTAGAGTGGCGCTATGTTAGTGGTGACAGTTGTCAATGGAGGGGTGGTGGGGTAGCGTAGCGCTATGTATTGTGCATGAGGGTCGGGGGTTGGTTAGCTTGCACTATGTTAGTGCCGGCAGTTGTTGACGGCAGGGTGGGTGGTGAGGAGCGCAATGTTTGTATTGCGCACGGTTTGGAGTCTAAGCTGAGCTGCTACAATGTCTGCTCCCAGGCTGGGAAGTGGCAGAGCTACGTGGGGGGTGGGGGAATTGGTAGGCGGGGCGCTCAGTTCTGTTGACAGGGCAGGGTGCCCTTCTTGAATTATGGTAGGGGAAACACTGGAGTCCTTCACTGCCACATCTTATATATTTGTCTCCTTCTTTGTTTTTGCAAGGTGACGGTAGTTTCTGTGGCTTCTCCACCCTCTAATGCCTCTCAGAAGTCAGTAGCACTGCCTGTGAGTGTAGCACTTGGCCAACAAATTCTCACAGTCCAGCAGTCCACATCTGCATCACCAGTCAAAGTAGCCACCAGCCAAACCACAGCACAGGTAAGATTAAAGTTGGACCTAATGCAAAATCCTGTAAGAATCATGAGGTGTCTGATAGTTCTGTCAGCGAACATTCAGTTTGTCTGAGTTACTTCACCTTTTATCTCTCAAACTGTCATCATTAATTAGAAATTTATTTATTTTTGTTATAACATTCATGATAATTTATTTTATTGTATTATCAAGTGTTGTCCAATGTAGGCAGTGGGTGTTGGCTTTGTATCTCAAATATTGGAACACTGGGTCCATAGTTGTTTCTGAGTCTGCCTGAATTTTGGATATCAAAGTTTCCATAGTTCCAATCCTTAACAATGCATGGGAACATCCTTCCCATATAGCCCTTCTCTCTAGGCTGTTTTTCTCTGCCCTCGTCCAGGAATGTCTTATTCCAGTATCCCATTTCTCATTAGAATGTCGTACTTCCCTAATATCTGATGGGACCTAGTTTAGAAATGCATGAGCTAACATAACTTCAGTTTTGTTTCTCTCATTACACAACAGAGGTTGCTCAGACATTAGCAGCACCAGGTCTAGAACCCCGATCCCCTGATATTCTCACATCAAAGTCCTGTGACACAACCACTACATCTCTCACAATGTAGTTTACATTTGTACAGTCTATGTTTATAATTACACTTGAAGATCCTCCATTTCGTCTTTCTCTTCTACCCATGTAACTTCACACCGCCCTGCTTCTTTCCCTCAGAATATGAAATATGTATTTTTTTTTCTTTTCCCCAGAATATCAAGCCTGTGCAATCTGTACCAGTGACAGGAGTTGGTGGCTCCCAGTTCAAAACCATCTTCCCACTGTCTGCCCAGCCAAATGTGCAACAGATTCAGGTGCCAGGAAGTAAGTTCCGCTATGTTCGCCTTGTCACAGCAACCACAGCTAGCAGCACAGGACAGCCAAGTGTTCCCAACGCCAGCTCAGTTCAGACAGGTGAGCTATAAATCTCTGTTTCTTCAAGTTCAAAATTCATTTCACAGTCAGTAGGCAAATAAAACATCCATATTAGAAAATACATTAAAATAACCCTATGGAAATCATCACTGTTCGTTGAGAAGCCTGATCGCTACAGGCATAAATGAGTTTTTAAGTCTGTTCATTCTACATTTGGGCTACAGATACCTGCATTCAAATGGAAGCAACCTGAACTTACCATGGAGTGGGTGATTAGGATCTGCCAGAATCAGCCTGGCCTTGTTCACTGACATCACGTGTAGGTCTGTGAGGTTCTGTACAGGTCTCTCTTGTAAAAGAGTCCTCGAGGTTCAATGGGAACTAACCTGTATAAATAAAGGTTGAACGAATGTAGGGCTATTCTAGTAATTTTGCTGCACATCTTGACAAAGTGTACTGTGTGTTCATATGTTCCCATACAATGACAAAATTGGTTCTCTGTATTTAACCCATCGTACCTGGGATACATCCAGGTGGAGCAGCGGGCAGCTATGCAAGTGGAAGCAATTTGGGATTAGTTGTCTTGCTCAGAAACACCACGACATGTGGAACGGCTGGGAGACAAACCTCAAGAGTATGTTCCTGTTTTTGCATGTTAAAAATTCAAACCAACAGATGAAGGTAAATGTTAAGAGACTTTATAAAACATACCATATTACCATACCATACCAGCTTTATTTATAGAGCACTTTAAACACCCACAGGACCAAAGTGACGCATAATAAAACAATTGGGCAATAATTAAGTCAACATTACAGATGGTGTCAAAGGTCAGGGAGAAGAGATTTGGAGGTGCTAATTCTCATCCCAGCCGCTTCACACTCAGCTGTGAACCGCTCCAGTGAGAGCTGAAGATCATGGCACAACAATGCCAAAAGGACCACATCATCTGCAAAAAGCAGAGATGGAATCCTGAGGCCACTGAATCGGAAACCCTCTGCCCCCTGGCTACACCAAGAAATTCTGTCCATAAAAGTTATAAACAGAATCTGTGACAATGTGCAGCCCTAGTGGAGTCCCAACTCCCACCCTGAAGGGGTCCAACTTACTAACAGCAATGCAAATCAAACTCGCACCGCTTGTATAGGGACTGAACAGCCCATAACAACAGACCACCAATCCCAAACTCACGGATCATCCCATACAGTGTACCCCGAAGAACACGGTTGAATGTCTTTTTCAAGTCCACAAAACACATGTAGACTGGATGGGCAAACGCATGGCCCCTCGAGGACCCTAGTGAGGGTAAAGGTCTGATCCAGTGTTCCACAGCCAGGATGGATCCCACATTGTTCCTCCTGGATCTGAGTTTCGACCAACAATCAGACTCGCTTCTCCAGTACCTGTGAATAGACCTTACCAGGGAGGCTAAGGAGAGTGATGCCCCTGTACTTGGAGCACGCCATCTGGTCCCCTTTTTGAAGAGGGGAACTACCACCCCAGTCTGCCAATCCAGTGGCACTGCCCCCTATGTCCATGCGACGTTGCAAAGGTGTATCAACCAAGACAGCCCACAACATCCAGACATTAAGGAAATTAGGGTGAATCTTATCCACTCCTGGATCCCTGCCGCCTTGGAGCTTTTTAACTTCCTTGGTGACCTCAGCCATCGTTATGGACGGGCCAACCCCAAAGTCCCCCGACTCAGCTTCCTCTATGGAAGATGTACTGATGGGATTGAGAAGGTCTGAGAAGTATTCCTTCCACCTCCCGACATCATCACTGGTTGAGGTCAACAGCACCCCACCTTCACTGAACACAGTGTTATTACAGTGCTGCTTACCCCTCCTCAGCCGCCTGACGGTTTGCCAGAATCTGATTGGAGCTGACCGAGAGTCTCTATCCAAGGCCTCACCAAACTCCTCCTACATCTGAGCTTTTGCCTCAGCAACAGCCAAGGCTGTGAACCGCTTGGCCCTCCAGTACTCCTCAGCTGCCTCCATAGTCCCACTGGCTAGCAAGGCCAGATTGGACTCCTTCTTCTGCTTGACAGCCGCCCTAACCTGGGGTGTCCACTACTGAGTTCGTGGATGGCCTTCGCGAGAAGCACTGACAACCTTGCATAATATATATTATTGATTGATAATTACTGCATGGGCGATTATCTTTCAGCTGGCAACAAGTTATTTAACCCCAACTGGTTCAGTGAGTTGCTTCTCCTTTCTTAAACAGTCATGTCACAAGACACATTGCATGGTCGTGGAAAACATGTCAGTCTGTTTGAGAAGGGTCAAATCAATGGCATGCATCAAGCAGAGAAAACATCTAAGGAGATTGCAGAAACTACAAAAATTGGGTTAAGAACGGTCTAACGCATTATGAAAAATTGGAAAGATAGTGGGGACCCATCATCTTCGAGGAAGAAATGTGGCCGGAAAGAAATTGTGAATGATCGTGATCACTTAAATGTTTGGTGAAATCAAATTGAAGAAAAACGGTAGCAATTCAATTCAATTCCTTTTATTTATATAGCACCAAATCACAACAAAGTTGTCTCAGGGCACTTTACAGGAACATTCATAGCATTCAGGGCTATGTTTAATAGTGAAAGTAAGAGCATTTCCACATGCACAATGCGAAGGGAACTCAAGGATTTGGGACTGAACAGTCGTGTAGCCTTAAGAAAACTACTAATCAGTGAGACTAACTGGAAAAAAAGGCTTCAGTTTGCTAGGGAGCATAAAGATTGGACTCTGGAGCAATGGAAGAAGGTCATGTGGTCTGATGAGTCTAGATTTACCCTGTTCCAGAGGGATGGGCACATCAGGGTAAAAAGAGAGGCCGGTGAAGTGATGCACCCATCATGCTTAGTGCCTAGTCATTAATGCAAGATCTTGGTGAAAAATTAATGTAACACTAGATGGAAATAGATCTTGTGACATTGCAGAAGTTTGTAGAAACAATGCCACAGTGAATGCATAATGTAATCAAAGCTAAAGGCGGTCCAACGAAATATTATTGTGCAACCTTTTTTTTGGTGGTGACTTTTTTTTTGGCCAGGCAGTGTATCTCTGATGGGTTCTTCTGTCAGGTGTTCTCAGCAAACTCTCACTACACATTTGGGTCTACCAGGTCTGTCCAGCATCTTCTCCCACCATCTGATCCAGCTCAATACCAGGTGGTGATCAGTTGACAGCTCAGCTCCTCTCTTCACCCAAATGTCCAAAACAAATGGCCACAAATCAGTTGATATGACTATTGCCCCTTTTGCACCGCCCCTAATAAGCCCCAATTCTGGGCAGCCCACCACAGAAAGAACCCTTTTGCACCAGCCCTTTAGCTAGTATTTTTAGCTGATTTGAGGCTGATTCAGGACCTCTTTTCGTCCCTGTTCCTCTGGTAGGACTGAGCGAGCTCAGTTGAGCTGAGTCGGGACCGAAACGTGAATGCAGGACTCTGATTGGTCAGGGGGAGGAGTCACTGGATCTCAGAAACTTTTCACTGAGCCACCATTTGCAATTTCTCTGGATGTGGAGCAGCAGCTGGATCTATTTTTAGGATTTTAAAAACAATACTGACAACGCCGTGTTTAATTCTGAAATCCAGGTGTATTTTGTGTTTGGTGACCGACTATAAAATTCGAGCGAGGGGTGTCACCGCAGAGGATCATACGAGCTGCCGAGCCGTTGAAGCCCGCGAGGCCGAACCCCGAGCCCCGGCCTCGCCTGCTCACAAAGGCCGGATTTGAGCCCTGGCAGGCGGGAGGACCGGGATGGAGGGACGGGGGTGGAAACGTTGTTTGTTTTTTGGTTTTTTAACATTTATGTATAACAAATTTTTTTTTAATCAGTGAAGATTAAAAATAAATAAACGGTGCCGGCTTTATCGTGACATCCTGTTTTTCCTTTGACTTTATTAAATAATCTGTTAATTAAAGTTAATTCAACTGAAAAATTATAAAAAGACAAAATTATTGAATCTCTCGTATTTCCCTCAAACATGTTTAAAGAAGAGACACAATCTTTGGTTCAACATTATTCTAACCCACAGATGTACAAATCACAAAACAAGAATTACACTTTAAATTAAAGCTTTAAATCAAAGCTAAACTTTAATTCAAAGCTAAAAATAATTTGTATACAAGAAAAAACAATCTATACAAGAAACAAAACCACAATGAGTGCAAATACATCAAATGATGAAGAAAAATATAGAATTTTAAAAATAGATATTCTGATGCACGCTCAATAATCCAGGTAGAAAAATCTAAAAAAGTGAAGTCTGGTCCTCTGGACGTTAAAAAAAACAAACAAAAAAAAAAGTAGAAATGTTTCTTCTTTCATCCAAAAGACTTCTTCAGTCTGAGGTGCTGTATTCAGCTCAGTCTTATATAAATAGCTATGAGCTGAATACAGCTCCTCAGACTGAAGAAGTCTTTCGGATGAAAGACGAAACATTTCTACCTTTTTGTTTTTTGAATGTCCAGAGGACCAGACTTAACTTTTTTAGATTTAATTATAAATGTTTTGTAGAATCTGGTTCATCAGATTTAATTCAGTTCAGTTTATTTATACAGCGCCAAGTCACAACAGAAGTCGTGTCAGGGCACTGAACAGAAATATTCATATATAAAATAAGTTAACAGAAACATTCATATATAAAAATAATAATTTAATATTATTTATCTGAGGAGCAGACAGCTTTGAGTAACTCATAACAGAACTCTCATTAGCAGGACTTGGATTCTGGACACGCCTCCAGAATCGGTCCCAAAGTGCAAAATCCAGGCTGAGCTGAGCCAGGCTGAGTAGGGGTGTGCAGGGCTGAGCAGAGTTGGGGCTGATTGGGGCAGTGCAAAAGGGGCACATGGAAGTCAATCATCGATCTACAACAGGGGTGCCCAACCTTTTTTGAACCAAGAGCTACTTTTGAAGTCGGCAATTTGCTGAGAGCTACTCGTCCAGTCTCATTATCAACAAACATAATTTTTCATCAATCCCTACTCCTCACTTCTTTAAAGTAAATAAAACAGAACGTGA